ACAAACCCTCACAATGTGGGGGGGCTACTTTTTATTATCAATTTTTTATTCACGTGGGGCCGGCAATCATGTGAGGGTTTGTCAACTTTTTTGTCAAACTCTTTTTGTACAATTAGCTTTTTTCAAATTTTAATAATGTTACACTTTCCATTCATGTGGATGCATGCCATTGAATTTGGGGTTGGAGATCAAAATGGATCATACCCTTTGTTTCACTTTACAGTCTGATCTACTTATTACTATGGAACGGAGTCATTGTTTTTAAAATTACTGTAATATTCTTTTCCATTCAATATCTCCATTGAGATATGGAGTTCGAGATCTGAGAACGATTTATAGAACTCTTTGACCCCATTTTGGAGTAGCCCCGAGTCAAAGAACTTTCATTAAAAAGTCTTGACAAATGATGATTTAAATGAGAATCAACACCTGCGAACTACAAAAAGATAGGGTAAAAAAAGGTTCATAATAAAAAATGATAAAGAGTTCTCGTAAAATGAAAAAAAATAGCAAAATTTGTGCCGTTATATAGTGTTAGCAACTGTACTTATTGACCAAATTGTAGCAGAATTACATATGTACCCTTTTGACATTTAATTCATTCTACTTGACAAAGGACCATTTATGTTCATTAGTCAATATTACATCAGCAAAGGGACAACGGTCAAAATTTTACTTAAAATCTTGTGAAAATCGTGCCCAGACGGGGCATACTGAAATTGATCCCTTCATGGCTCCATATAGCCTAGCAACAATATGTGATTACTTGAAATGGTATATTTGGTAGAGTAGATTAAATAGTACTAGACAATATTAAAAAAAAAAATTATTGTACTGTCCCCCTTCAAACATGCACCAAATGTACAAGGGATCCATTATGCTACACAAGGGAGTAGATTTAAACATGGAGTCTGTAGAATGTTTAAAAGCCTANGTACTGTCCCCCTTCAAACATGCACCAAATGTACAAGGGATCCATTATGCTTCAGAAGGGAGTAGATTTAAACATGGTGTCTGTAGAATGTTTATAAGCCTACTATAAACATGTTGCTTCCTAGTAAAAACCAAACACCAAGAGTATAAAAGTAATTTTTTTCGCAATTTAAATTTTTTAAAACAAGTCAATGCATATTTTGTGAAGAATCATTGCCTTACAAGGACTTTGATTTTCCGGGACTTGATGTTCCTCCCAAAACTCGTCAAGATCAACAGCGGGAATGGGACTAATGTCCGTATAGGGCAAGTATAAAATTCCTTAGATAAATCCAATTATTCCCACTCAATAGTTGCCGGAGGCTTTGATGTAATGTCTAGTAGAACACGATTTACACCCTGAACTTCGTTGCAAATTCTTGTCGATAGATCAGCCAGAAACTTGTAATCGAAATAGTACCTAGAAGTTTGCAATTGTAGAGAAAAAGACGTAGTAAGTAAAATTTTCGTCCACTAGAATAAAAACTTGAATTCATAGTCACAGTTATCAAGCACACCTTAGACTAGAGACACTGCAACCTAGTAATTACAATTTGCACGAAGGAACCAAGAGCTGATAAAAAAAAATCAACCATGCTACACATACAGGCTCAATGACAGGTTAAAAAAGAGAGACAAATGTTGGCACATGATTTGACAATTTGAAAAAAAAGGAAAAAACAAACACCCAATCAATTGTTGCCACTCCACCCTGTCACCCAATTTCCTGTCTTTCACCCTGGCCAAGCAGCATTATTCAAAAAAAATATCGTGAGAAGAATAAATACCAGTCTGCAGTCATTCCATCATGACTTGTGACGGCCCTAAGTGCGATGGCATAAGAATGTGTTCTTTGATCTCCTTGAACTCCAACCGTTAATACTGGCATGAACACAGCAAAAGCTTGCCATATAGAATCATATATCCCAGCATCTTTGATCGCCTGAATGAAGATCTCATCCGCCTGATATGGGCACCACAGTCAACAGAAGAAGACATTAAATAGCTGAATATTGTAGCATTGCTTATATTTAAGAAATAAATAATAATCATGTACCTTACGCAGGATCTCCAACCGGTTTCCTTCTGTGACATCACCAGGGACCCGCACTGCAAGGCCAGGCCCAGGGAAGGGGTGGCGCCTTAAGAAGGAAACTGGAACCCCAATAATTCTACCCAGTTCACGAACCTTCAAACAATTGCAATAGGACACCAAAACAGATAAAGCAAATCATGTGGTGCAAACAACTTTTAACATGTAAAAGTTCCCTAAACTTATAAAGAAATTGAACTGAATACCTCGTCCTTAAATAAAAGTTTAAGCGGCTCAATAAGCTTCAACTTCATGTCCTTTGGGAGCCCTCCAACATTATGATGACTCTTGATAGTGTGGGAGTGAGTCCTCCCACTTCCAGGTGGCGGGCAAGATTCAATTACGTCAGGGTACAAGGTTCCTTGGACCAAATAAAGAGGTTTCCTTCCTAACTTTTTCCCCAAATCATGAGCAAAAGCATCAAAGATGCAGATAAATTCATTGCCGATTATTTTCCTTTTCTTTTCAGGTTCCGTTACACCTTTAAGCTTGCTAAGAAATTGCTCAGTAGCATCAATGCAAGTAACAGGTAAATGAAGATCCTTCTCAAATGTTTCCATCACCCGCTCTCTCTCCTTAAACCTGTAAAAACAAAGTCAAAATTCAAAATTGAATGAATAGAACATTTGAGTAAACTTTGAGCAAGCACATTCATATATTCTCTGAAATAATAGAGTTTATGAAGGTTCATTTCACTCTCATAAAAGTGGATGTTGTCTAACCTTAATAAACCATTGTCAACAAAAGCACAGTGAAGCCTATCTCCAATAGCCTTGTGAACAAGAGTAGCTGCCACTGTGGAGTCGACACCCCCCGATAATGCACAGATGACATGATCGTCAGGTCCAACTGTCTCTTTAATAATTTTCAGTTCTTCCTCAAGAACATCTTCCATCTTCCAGCCGGCAGTCACTCCACAAATATCAAAGAGGAAATATCTCAACGTTTCCATTCCTTCAGGGGAATGTGTTACCTGTAAAAGATCCATAAGATCATCAACAAGAATCAAACAGCTAATACTAGTGGCAATCAAAAGATAAGCAATGTGTTAGACTGTTAGTATATTGAACTTAGTTACATACATTGATTATGAGTTTATGTTTATTTGCACTTGTTGGTGTTAAAAAACAGTCAAATGCCTAAATTGCTTCTGCCATTGCGAAATAGTTCCAATGAAGCTGAGCATAATTTGAACGTACTTCAATTGAAGTCTAGTTTACAAAATTGATTATGAGTCATTCTGCAGTTTCAGCAATGCAGAGTTCAATCCGAGTTATGAAATTCCACAGAACCTTGACGACTAATAGACACTACAGCACTTTTTCCATGTATTCATTCTTTTTATTTGATGCAGACTAACAATAACTAGTAACTATAAGAATTATAGAGAAAAGAGAACAGAAATACCATCTAAAATGCACAAAAAAATACAATTCTTCACTTTTAAATTACCAAAAAATGAACTAAAGAGAGAGTACGTAACAAACAGAAGTAAAACAGGACTACCCCAGCCAAACAAATCTTTTTCCTGAAAGAGCAATAACAAAAAGTCCTTTCACAAAAACCAATCAAAAGTTCTACTTTCAAATCGATACTCGGAAATTTTACTTTAGTTTATAAACTCATACCGCAGAAAATAAAGCCACGTGAATAAAACTAAATCAACCTATGCATCGTACAAAAAAGATTCAATTTTTATAACTAGACATGACAAGTATAAATAGTCAGCCAAATTATACCTCTGGATGGTACTGCAAACCATATAACCTCTTTCCACGATTTTCCACTGCAGCCACAGACCCCTGCTTGCTCCTGGCCACGACCTCGAACCCCTCCGGCAACTTCACGGCCTCGTCCCCGTGACTCATCCACACACTCTGCCTATCCCCAACCTTCCTATTTCCAAACAACCCACTAGCCTTATCTACCTCGATTTCCATCCTCCCATACTCCTGCTTCTCGCCAACACTCACCTCACCGCCCGTTTTCTGCACAATCAACTGCAGCCCATAGCATATCCCCAAAACATGAACCTTGTTCGACTCAACATACTCCATGAATCCAGATGGAAAACAAGGCGCGTCCATCGCATGGACGCTGTGTGGCCCACCGGAAAGAATAATTACATGCGGTTTCAGGTCAACTATTGATTTGAGGGACGATGTGCCGTTGATGCAGAGCGAGAACACATTGAGGGCCCGAATTCTTCTTGTTATGAGATGGGTGTACTGGGAACCGAAATCTAGTATCAACACTAGGTTTGTTTTCACATCTTGAGGGTCCATTACGGAGTTTTCGGATTCGGTACTTGTTGCAGAGAGAAGAGGGTTAAGAGTTATGAGAGGGAAAGGGACGGTGATAGGGTTTATGTACCAAGAAGAAACGTGACTAGGGTTTTACTGAAGGCGGGAAGAATAATGGACCAAAAATATCCAACTTTATATCTTCTTTTTAAGGAAAAGAAATTATTCATTTATTATCTCAACTTTTTCTTCCCAAAAAACGGATTTTTTTTTTCTTTATATTACAAAAGGTGAATTTGAGAGAGAGAGAGAGAGAGAGAGAGGGGTCCCCTAAAGAGAAAAATGTAAATATATCTTTTAATTTAATTTTCGCAAGTCTAACTGGGAACCAAGTCCGTATTTGACCATCTTTATTAAACTCTTTAATTTTCATACTCATTTTCAACCACAAATTTAAAAAATAAAATATTTTACACGTAAATTTAAAACGTTTTCATACTTTTTAATCACACTCTCCAAAAAACTCACTATTCAAAACTCATTTTCTTAAAATAGCAGCCATCAAATAATGGCAAAGCTTCAACAATTTCGCTACAGGTACAGAAAAAACTGATCCAACCCATACAAGAAATTAAATTTGTTTACTTGGCAATGTACAGTGAAAAGCCGATTTTCTTCAAACCAAGCCAAAATCGGGTAGACAAATTCCAAAACCAAGCCAAATGACTATTGCCCCCAAATATCTCAAATCCCATGTGCCTCTCATTTCCCAACCTGTAGCTCTCGCCCTCACCTGTTGAAAATCCGGCAGCCGCACCATAAATTCTTGGTTCCCGCCGGCTTTTTGTCTATTCTTACCACCCTGGAGGGCTAACCCGTGGTTCAATTTGTCTACACCTCTAAAGAAATCGTCTTTTCTCCTCCCCCAACACTCGTTAGCATCCGGCCAAAGTGCTTTCTGTTGTTGACAGTTACGATGACGAAAGCCCACCGAAAACCAACATCGAATCTGTTCCTGAAAAAAAAAAAACTAAAGGGCTATCAGTGTAGATGACGGACAAAGGTAAGAACGCTTCTTGGTTCTAAATCGGCCTCGCTGCAGATGACTTTGAAGTCCTTGTTTGAACTATACATAAATTGGTTTGGTTTGTTTACAATCTGTGATTTTCCAAAGTGAATAAAATAGGTGACTCATTCGATTTATGTTCATTTAGGCGTCTGATTATATATAGGTTAGCTGAGATAATTCTAAACAGATAATTCAACATAATATCATAACAGGCAAAAGTCGTGACTCAATTTTAGCATCACATATTTATGAAAATTGTAGACCAAAATCCAACTTGTATATGAATTTGTACATTGAAGATTAACTTTAAGGGCCTATTTGAGCCACGTTATTGTAGAATGAAAATTAAAAATATAGTTGTTATTGGGCTCACACAAGACATAGTAAATTTAAATTTAAATGTTGATGTGATTGATAACAGTCATATTTTTCATTTTAATGAGATAAAAAAGTGCCCAAACGGGGGCTAAATAAATAATACGGTGTCTGTTTGGCCAACTTGGTGGTGTTCATTGTTTTAAAAAAAAAAATTTGCTACGAGATAACTTTCAACCATATATTTCAAGGCCACTTTCCCCGGACAGGTTCACTCAGCTCGATTTATTTTAAAAAATGTAACATTACTATTAAATTGCATTTGTAAAGTAAGTTCTTTATATTTGACAAAGATTTTAACCATCTAAATTGCAAATGTACCAATAAATATGTTAACCTGCTAAAAATACATATATTCCTCATTATAACTTTTATGTAACTAACATTAAATGAGAAGTATGAAAAAATATGAACAAGAGCTTCAGCTTAATGTATCAAAATCAAGAATTGAATACAGGATTGATTCCTCTAGGACATATTCTGAAATCTGACTCACAATTTCCTCAGTATAAAGCATGATATCAACCCACGATCCAGAATTTGCCACGTCTTTTCCAACAAGCTGGTCCAACGTTCTTTTCCCAGTACGAGGAAGGAGGTAAAAATCAGCTTCTTTCATTACCTGGTCGATCACCTGTTGTTCCAATGGCGCAAGCTGGATTTTCGATTTAATGAATGATAACCAAGGGGCCAAACCAAAATGACATCGATGTACCTCCAACAGAACTTCATTAATGTGATCAAAAAGAAGTTTAGGATCATAAGGAGAGTCAGCGGATGGAAACTCTACTTCGTCGAATAAGGATTCGTAAATTAACTGTTCGGTCAGTGGCATAATTGCTGATAGCTCGTCCCAATTTAGACGAGAAGCTTGCAAAACTGCATTCACATAACCAGAAATGGAATCCTTTTCATCTATGCAGGTTGTTGGAATGATTGTGGGATCAATGGGGGATGCCTCAGACGAGCACCCTTCATAATCTAGACGACGACGTAGTTGTAATGGCCGGCCAGCTGCAAAATGACCCAAATTACTACAACACAAGATAAACAACAACAACAAAAAATCAAAAGTCTAAAAATATAAGCTTTGCCAATCATGCACGAAGCCTTATTCCCAATAATTTGGGGCAGCTACACAAATCACTTTTTGCCATTTTGTTCCCTTCATCGCTAGATTTACCAGGAGATCTAAAGCAACTATATTCTTAGCAACTACAAGAAGCCAAGTTAGTTCTGTCTACTTCTCCTTGTTCAGACTTGCCGTAGCGAAATTGTGTCACTACTGGGACACTTTCTTGGTTAACGCAAAACCATTCCAACACAAGATCTCATACCAAAAAGAAAGAGAGACTATTTTTATTTTATGTCATACTTACCTCTTCTAAGTATGATGTTCGGTGGGCTGTTTACGTCTTCTGTGAAAAATGGCTCAAGGACAGAAACCGGGCTCGGGTGCTCCTCTCGATCTTTAGTGCTGTCATCTAGTTGGTACGTGCTTAAAGTCCATGGACAATCATCTAGTACGGAAGGTGAATCCTACAAAGGCATAGATTGTTAGCAAAGGTATAAACTTTGAAGTGATTAAAACATCTCAAAGAGGCGGGCATTAAAAAGGAAGATAGACCAAAAGAAGTGTAGCATATCAACGATCCCCTACTGAAATAAAGAAGTATGAAGCCCTCACCAATCTTAGATGCATTGTATTTCCGTCTTCCTCGAGTAAGTCAATTCTGTTGGTTTTTTGCCTAGGCAAATCAGTGCTGCTTAATTCACTTGGCCCTTCTGAAGTACTTGTAATTTCAGGATTTGGAATGCTTTCTAATTCTACCATCTTTGCTCGACCTGAAAAACATGCACAACAGATAAACAGATTTATAAAAGAACAGATGATCAAGCATTAGTTAAATTAACTCGTACCATTAGACTCCAGATCAACTGTAGCAAAATCAATTTTCTCGGGTACTTCTGTATCAGCACTTCCAATCAGAGAGAAATTTCTGTTCGACTCCAATATTTCTAGTGTACTATCATACTTCCTAAAATCAACAGAAGGTGTAGGTTCTTCATTCTGTGTCAATGGAATTACATACTTCTGTTTTCCTTTTCGTGTTTGGCAACTTGCAGGAGAGTTGCCGTAAGGACTAAATCTCATCTGATCAGAAACAGAACCATTTTCCTTTTTCCTACTTAGGCTAGAGAGCCAAATGTCATGTTCCGGTGAGGAGATAATCTGTCCTAAGATTTTAGGGCATCTATTGCTAGTCAGGGTCTCAATTGCATTTAAAGTTTCCAATCTAGTGGAAAGGTGCATTTTTGCCTCCAGAATTACATCAAATTGGCGTGCTCCTTGGTTACTTGATGAGTTTGACTTGTTAATCACGGGTTCATTCATGCAAAAATTCTCAGAGAAACAGCTTGATTTGAGGCCTTGATTCTTGTCCTTCAACTTGGCACCAGTGGATGAATCCACAGAATTTCCTGTGTTCACACGTTGACAAGGACTTTCATCTCCAGACGTCATTTTACTGTGAGAACGTTCAACTGTAGTTACATCCATTAAGGTCTGGTATGGCTCTTTCCTGGTCAGTCCAAACGAATATTTCAATTTCCTCTTCATTTCGCTGAACGAGAAGGATGTAGATTTCACATTTGGTACTTTACTGCTCGACCTGTGATGAGACTGCAGCAACGAGCAATGACAGGAAACATTCTCGGAGTATTTTGTATTATTGGAACTTGGCTTCGGAACTACTACTTTTTCTGATATCCGAGAAGTGAAACTTCCTTTCGATGAATGTCCACATCGATACTTGATCTTTTCCAATAAATCCTCGTTCGACTTCAGAATTTCTAGTGCATCAGAGAATGGTCTCGACTCAGAGCTTTCCCATTTCTTGTCGATGAATTCTCTGTCCATTAACATCTGATCGACAAAAGCTCTGGCACTCATTTGAAATTGTTCAACACTGATCTCATTGAGCCGGTCATACACTGAAAGAGCGACACTTCTTCCTGAACCTCCCTCAGGGCTACTGTCTTCTCCATAAATCTGATTATAAATTGCTTCCAACATTGCTCCAATGTTGAGCTTATTGGAAGATTTATCTACTTCAGTAATAGGCATTTCCTTACTCAAATCTGTTCTTCCAAATTGCAGTTTTTCAGCTCTAATTCGTTTCTCTTTTCGCATCTCGATTGACATATCTTCTTGAATGAGATTCCTTACACTTCTCCCACTACAGACAACTCCAGGTCTGCTCCATTCTGAATCAAAACAAATCTTGGTTTAGTTCATCGTTTCGATTTCTTTTATTATTGCCGGGTCAAGGACTCATCCAGATCGAACACAGTTTCTTAACATATTACCATAAATTTGGGTTCGATGGACAAGGTGAATAATTTGACCCAAAGGCATCTTTCATAAGAGCAAATTAAAGAGAGGGAATCTGATATATAAATTGCATCATAAACCACAGAAATCAAATGCATATTAAGACTAATTCTCGTTAAGAAATTGTATACAATGCTAAAAATCCTGAAATTATGGCCTAGATAATCACATCTACTATGGACCAAAAGCATTATTCGCCAATTTAATCAATAAACTAGTTATTCAACAAGCGAAAAATCATCAAACTTCATCCACATTTCCCCATTCGTGACTGTCAATTTCAACCATTCACATAAGTTTTTTCTACTTTTAGACTATACTAGCTTAAAAGATGGACTATGGAGTTCAAATCTAGTCCTTCGTGCCAAGATTGGAAAACCGTAAATTAGGTCCACAAACATTCCCAAAGCACACACATACATCATATATGTACTCCCTAGTCATAAAGCTTCTTCAATGCACTATCCCAAATTGAGCTTTTAACACAACTTCCCATGATTAAAAACCCAACTTTTCTCAAGAAAATATGCATAAAAGAGAAGAAAAATTGGAAAAGGGTACCTTTAATTCCTTTTGATAGTAGTCGAGATTAAAGATTCCTTTCAACAGTGCTTGAGGGACAGTGGAAAATGGAAAAGTGAACAGAAAGAAAATGCCATAAAAGAAGGGGAAATTGTGTTCTTTGTTTGTATCTATGTACGTATGTATAGGTATAAACAGCATTAAAATTTGGCAATGGCATAAAATTGACTATTGCCACCATATACTCTTAACAAAAATCTGGCTTTCTTCAACCACTACAAAACTTTCAACTCAAAGAAGATTCTTGAAATTTTCATTTTTTTTTTTTCAATTTGGTTTTATATATATATTAAATCGGTGTTTTGTCCTGTCGTCATATAGTACGAAACCATATTAATTAATTAAGATAAATAGTCTGTATTAAGTTTTATTTGGTTTTGTCATGTTATCGTAGTAGGCAAGTGCTGATTAAACAAATGTAAATATTAATAAAATTCAAGCTCATGAACTCGGCTTGACTCGTGGGCACGAGCCGAGCCACCATTAGCTAAATCGGGCTGTATATTACAACTCAAAAAATAATCAATATACAAACCTTAAGTTATTCTTTCGATTAAAATTGATTTTTTAAGATGAAATTTCAAAATTTAACAATTATATCTTTAGCAATTAAAATTAAAACAAAAATAATTTGTTATTTTGTATTACTTCAAGATTATCATTATGCCACGTGTGTTAAATGATATTTTTAATTCTTGTATCTTTCTATATATAAAAAGTGTCTATTTAACGGAATTTGTTGGTTTAACGGAAAAACTAACGGAATTTGTTGTTTTAACGGATTATGTAATGAAATTTCTT